TTCATGTACGACCGGGCCGTGGCAGATGGACACAAGGACGCGGCTGCGGGGCATTTGCTCGATGCGCAGGAATGGCGCAATCTAGCGGCAGCGTGGAAGGTGAGGGATCCGAAGAACTACGAGGTGTACTAGTACGATGGATGTACCTGGCTGTGTTACTCTGTGGAAGAGCGAACCGGGGGGGTGGGCGTGCAAGTTTCTGCACGTGAGCAGTCCATTGTGTGCCTGTTGTACGGCCCATTGTAAGGCCTGTTGATTGGGGCGTTTCTAGGGAACCGATTCCTGTGTACTATAATCAGGTGTAGACGGGCGGGCCTTCGTGCTTGGGCAGGCCACTGTCAGGCAGGTAATCTAGCGGCGTGGGTCTGGATAGTGCATTGTACAAAACCGTCTACTTCGGCTGGGCCACAATCGAAAAAGAGGATTGCACCGCCTGACAAATCCTCGTCCACCCTAGCCTCGCGGCCGTCACTCCATCAGAACCGAGCCCGCTCGTAACCCGCCGCCGGCGTGATGTGTATGATCTTTACGTTCTCCGTCAAAGTGCCGGCCTCAATTTCCCCAACCATGGCCTTGACGTGCGCGCCAGCGAGATGCGTCTGTAGGGCGGCGGCATTCTCATATCTGTAGCAGCAGCCGTAGAACAAGACATCGTTAGGTCTGGGAACTTGACCCGAGGAGAGGAGGGAAGGGGGAGAAGGGATCATGCATTTACGACAGGGAGAAAGGGGAAAAAGAGAGGGTAAGAAAAAGGAGGGGATCAACCCACGTTTCGCGAACGACGAGCTCCTCGGCGCCGCTCGTTTCGTCTCGCTTGCCGCGGTGGATTCGGTACCGAAGCGTACCGGGCTCGCTCTTCTCGGCGTGGGCGGCGCACGCGGCGAAGAGGCTGAGGAACTAAAGGGGGGGGGGAGCACTCGGCTGTGAGCGTGTGCGGCTTGGCAGAGGGTCGAGGACAGGAGAAGAAAAGGGGGATTAGGGGGCAAAAGTCACGGGGACGAGCTGGTTTCGTACACGTTCAGTCTGGCCCTTTTTGGGGGTGATGATGGCTACGAGGTCGATGTGGTCGGTACCCATGGCGCGGGGCCTGGAGGTTGTTTGTTGCGGTGGCGGTGGTGGTGGTGGTGGAGATGGGGTCAAGTGGTTGGCAGAGATGGCCGCTTGCAGGAGAGATGTCTAGATTTGCGATTGCTACGGAGAGACGGCAGGGGAATCAAACTTAGGAAAATAGAGAGTACATATATGTACACTCTCGGTCTGGGCCAGGCGGGCGAGCGATGGGCCCGGCATGGCACAGCCGTTGTTCATGACCCAGAACACAGTGAGTTGTCGGAAAAGCTTTACCTGGGGACTGAAGCGGGATGAGGGAGGGCACACTGCTTCAGGCCATGTCCTGCCACCAATCTGTCAACAAGCCAGGATGCCAGTCCCGTTGATGAGAAGGTAGAATCAATAACGGAGGGCAGCATGCCATTGCAAGCCTGATACAACGTGGCAAAGCAGACGGCAATGGATAGATGGCGATGAACAGAAGGCGACACACGCATCCGCATGCGGCTGGGCGGACGAGATGAGAGAGAGAGAGAGTCTGTGGCTGACATCATCATGTGGCTCAACACGTGGCTGGCCAACAATGCGGGGAACCCCTCCTAAAAAACAGAGACACAGCCCAGAGCCTAGACCTCAGCATAGACCGGATCGAGGATCTGGGCCTCTGTCCACAAACAATCAAGGCGTCGTGGAGCTCCGGCAAACGTCATGACCCATCTGGGCACGCAACGCTCATGTCGGCAAACGCCTGCATTCCCGGGACCGAACCTACGGGTCGCCGTGCATCCGATCGTGGGGATCGCGTCGCCCAGCCTCGTCCTGCTTGCCCCGCGCAGAGCTATCGAGCTACGCCGTTGCCCCTTCCGCTGCCGCTTGCGATCGACCTGGCAGCGGCCCCTGGCGATTGGAGGCGGGAGTGCACCATCATGGCTAGGGCTACCCTAGATCACTCAATGGGTGCTGCTGGGTTCGGGGCGCTTCGCCGTGCGGTCCCCTTCAGCGTGGAGTCTAGACTCGGCATCGCCAGGCTGGCGACGGCGCGATACGATGCCTTCATAAACAGTTTTATAGTTCATCCTAGTCGCGTTCGAGTCTCTCGCCCTCGAGTTCCTCCATCTTTGAGCCTCCTCGTCTTCGCCTGGTGACTATCCTGGAGTGTCCTACCGATCGACCCTCGCCGCCGAAACAGACAGTGACGCTGCTCGCGCATCTTGCCATCGCGCCAAGCCAGTGCCCGTCATCTAAACAGGAAGCATCATGTCAGCAACCATGGCACCAGTACAGGCCATCAACGTCCTCGATCCCATGCAACTGCGGCATCGTGCTCAGAGGCCAACACCACCGCCGAGCCACCGCCGCACCAGACAGCATGCCAAGAGCCCCCTGTCCCGCTCCGAGACACCCTCCGCCGACGACCGCCCAGCCGACGCACTGTCCATGGACGAGGACGCCCTGCTCGACTTGTGCGATTCTGTTCGCGCCTCGCTCCGTGACAGCCAGACGCTGGGTGCTCGGGCCTCTCACGTATCCAAGATTCTTCATTCCTTCCTCGAGGCGGAGAACCAATCGATCCCTCTCGTCGATGCCGCCGTCATCAGACATGCATGTCTCGATAAGCTCCTCGCAGACATCATCGCCGCGCCGAGGAGCCCCCCTGCCGCCGAGGGTGCGCCGTCGCCGTCAAGCCTCGATGTGACGACGGCACAGCGGCTCAAGAAGGCCTGGGAGACGAGGTTTCGCGATGACTACTTTTCCATGGACGACGCCCGCCTCAGATCGCTGCAGCACGGACGCCTCAAAGACGTCGACCACGCCGTGCAGCAGAAGGACCAATTCGAGAGATATATCGCCCGCGCCTCGTGCTCCGACTCGGCCGTGGTAGACTTTGAACCTGGACAGTAAGGTGACCAAGTGTGTGGCGTGGTATACAACGTCCTGTACTGACATTTTCTTCTCCTCCCAGCTGGTGGCTCAACCTGGCTTGCGCCCACCGCAACGGCATCGTCGGTAACGCGCACGAAAGGCCGACTAAAGACCGCTACGGCGTCGCGGCCCTGCCCCTGTTGACCGGCACCGAGGAGCATCTCGGCGGCAACATGTACAGGTACTGCCGCGAGGGGAAACTTTCCGACATGCACTTTTCCCTCATGTCGCGGGTCGGCACGCAAATTCGCCTACTGAGGGGCTACCGGTTGAAGAGCCTGTATGCGCCGGCCGCCGGTCTGCGCTACGACGGCGTGTGAGTCACCTCCTCTTGTTTACGTCCTTTCACATTCTCTCCGATCAACGTGGAGTCTCCCGTGACTGACAATGACGCCTTCGGCAAACCAGCTTCGTCATCCGCGCCTACAGCACGAAGCGTGACACAGTGTCAGAGAAGCACCGCCTCGAGCTCACGCTCGAGAGGCTGCCAGGCCAGACGCCCATGGCCGAGGTGCTCGCCGTGCCGCGGCCGTCGCAGCTGGACGACTGGGCGCTGTACGAGACGTGCGAGGCCGAGACGACGCGCAGGCGGATGGGGCCCCGCTCGTTCATGGAGTAGAAGATGATGAAGGAGCAGGAGCGCATCGACCGCGCCCACTGGCGGCGCGCGAGCGCATTTCCGCGCGTCGCTGGACCTCGGGCGCGCCCCTGGCATCAAAGGTGCTCGGACCCGGGGCCGCGGGGTTGTGAGTTTTATGAGATACCCTCTGAATCGGAATTGCATTTCTGTATTGCTGCTGTATGTTCCTGTTTCTTCGCCACTATCTCCTGATCACCTTTCGCCCTGCCTCCCAACCAGACTATGTATCTCTAGGAGACGCCGGTGGATGGAACCGGTTTGCCGTCTCCTTGACGCTTATCCGGTGCAGCTGGTCTAGGCATCTAGGCCTTTGCGGCAGACTGCGACGTGACGCAAGCCTTGACTCATTACATATGACTAGACCTCTTCTTCGCTTTTCTTCCTAGGTGGGGAGCTTAGAATCCTGACATGAAGTCTGGCGGGTGGTTCATGGCGTCCTCCTGCAGGGGCCCCTTTTGATTCATTTAGTGTCATCAATATATTGCGAAGGCGCGCTGACTGTAAGCATCGCGTGCTCGCCAGACGGATACGCGACATCTGATAAGCTACGCCCTGGCTCTCCGGGAAAAGTCTACGGGCTGGCGCGCACCCAGCTCCATGTTGCTTCTCTGGTATCGGCCGGAAGGCGGGCCTTGACGCGAGATATGCTGCAGCGGGTTGTTTTCCACAAGCGACAAGGAAAAGCCGGATAGGCAAGATTGCTTCAGGTCAAGACAGTCCAAAACGAGCCTCCTGGTATCTCTGAAGGCACGCGGTCATGTTTTCAGAAGAACGTCGTGAAAGTAACTGTCTCGTGTAGTGGTGTCCGTCCGTCTTTGAGGAGATGACTGTGCAAGCTCTCTTGAGTATGTGATGAAAAGGCTTGGGGATTCTGTAACCGAGCTTGCCCTGCTCCAAGTCGCAGAGAAAACCACAGTCAAGGGCGAGATCTTCATCGTAGATTGGAAGCCGGATAACATGGGGGCATCACACAGTGGGGACTGGCGTGACTTGAGACCGTCAGGGGAGACAAGACTTCCTCTGCCTTCGATAGCCTGCGGCTACTGCGCCATGACGGCCTTTTAGGAAAGCGCTTTACGTGAGAGGATACTGGCTAGCTTACATGCCATATAAGAGGATGGCCTCTATACCCATACCAAGGCCAGACTCTTGCTCCATAAACCCCCTACCATCCTCTACACCTATCATGCATATACGTCAACAACGCTAGTTCAGCAAGTGGGTTAGAAGACATACGGCTCGAATACGCGACAGAGAAGTCCTATCTAGTCAATCTACCACAGTCGCCTAGGGAATACTACGGTGCTTCTCAGCTGCTCGGCTTAGAATGATCAAACCTGTAGATAGGACCCCCGATACGTCCTCGCTACATTGGATTACACTACCGAAGCCGAGATGAATGACAAGAACCGAGTCCAGTCCACGACATGGGGCATTGATATGCTTGGAGCCATGTCATTGCAATTGGCTAGCCTCAAGACGTTCAACGAAATTGTTCTCTGCGCAGGCCACGGGCGACTTGTTTCCAACACGCAGCCATCGTTTCACAATTCCGTTGCTCGCCGATCCGACGCGCCGTCTCTCTCGATTGTGGTATTCCGTATTGTCTACCTGTGGACTGCCTCTTCGCGATTGTTCTTGCACTCGGCGTATTGAGCTTGGGCAGACGCAGGAAGTAGCAGGGAAACAGCCATGGAAGCAGTTCAGGAAAGCGGCTTCTTCCATTGCAGCTCCTCCCAAGCTGCTCCTTCCCTTCAGTGGCCGTTGTCTTGCCGGCATTGCAGTGTAGTCGAAACAGTGGGGCCGCACGTCGGAGGGGCGAATGGTGACCCCACGTCAGCCGTTTCGACGCCGTTGTACGAACCACGCCTTCACTCTTGCATCCTTAGCATCTTACACAACACAGTCTCCTTCGTCCCCCGCCATCTCCCGCGACCTCATCATTCAGTGTCCAACATGCCGACCGACTACGCAAACCTCCCCACCCCCGAAGCCTGCTACGCCGACTTTTGCCTCATCCCCGTGCGTCCTTTCCGTGCCGTCCTCTGCCCGCTGGCCGCTGCCTTCTCCTGTTACCTAACGTATCACGCCAGGTCGGCACCGGCTCCGTCTCGGTTGCCAAAGAGGTCGCCGAAGTGCAGAAGCTCCTCAAGGCCAGCGGCCTGCACTACCAGATGCACTCGGCCGGCACCACCGTCGAGGGCAGCTGGGACGACGTCTTTCGCGTTGTCGGCCAGGCCCATGCCCTCGTCCACGCCGGCGGCGTTTTGCGCGTGCAGTCGAGCATGCGCGTCGGCACGAGGTGCGTTTTTCCGTCTGCTTTTCTTTCTTTGCTTTACTTTCCCCCCCCCCTCTTATCCGCATTCGGTGGAATCGTGATCAAGCAGATTCCGTGCTGATGGGCGGCAGGACCGACAAGAAGCAGCCGTTTGAGGACAAGGTGAAGAGAGTGGAGGCCCTGTTGAAGGAGGGGGACTCGGCTGGCACGGGAGCATGAGAGCAGAGAGCAGCGAGCAGCGAGCGGAGAGCAACGAGCATGCAGCAGACATGAAACCACACCATGACAAGACCTTGACACGCAACAGCATACTCTCCGCAGGACACCAGTTTCAGCAGACGTCAGCTCGAAGAGGGAACGGTCAAAGTAGATCAAATACATCTCCCCTCACGGTCTCTATCTGTACATCAGGAGTACGCAAAGCGGAAAACTCCTCCCCACACTCCATGGCCATTGTCCAAGTAGACACCCTGGCCGGCTCCGATAGCTCGAGCAGACAGACTACCCGCGCATCGTCTGCTTCTTGGCCGCCTTGCGCGTCTCCTTCTCGCGCTCCTTCTCGAGGTACCGCTTCTGCTGCTTGGCGTCGAGCCCCGCGAGCTCCTGGTCGCGCTTGACCTTCTTGACGCGCTCGCGCTCGGCGTTGCGCTCCTCGGCCACGACGGCGTCGGCTTCCTTCTTGAGCTGCGCCACCGCCTCCTCGCGCACGCGGTTGACCTTGCGCAGAATCTCCGGCCGGAACTTGGCCTTGGCCACGAGGCTGTCGGGCAGCTGGAGGAACTGCGTAAAGAGCGGCGTCACCGTCGAGAAGTCATTGTTGCTGGGGATCGTGTACCGCAGGAAGATGCGCTTGCGGCCCGTCGTCGCCTCCTCGAGACTGCGCGTGCGCGGTGTCAGCTTGTTTCCTCTGGCCTGACCGGAGAAGAAGAAGAAAAAGAATTAGAGAGCACTCACGTCCTCGGCTTGTCAATCGGCTGGTCCGACACAATGAGATAGTCAAAAGCGTCGCCGGCAAGCTCGACGGCCTGGATGATCTCGGGCGTCAGGAGCTGCTCGGTAATCTCGGCGCTCTCCGTCATGACGGTCGCCCAGTTGGGCAGCTTGCTGTGGTCCTTGGTAAAGGTGATGGAGAGGTCGTAGCGCTCCTCGCGCAGCTGCTTCATGCGGCCCTTGGCGACAATGGCCCAGACGAAGCCGTCGTAGCTGCTCTTGCTGTCCTTGCTGCGCAGCTCGTGCGTGCCCGGCACCTGCGGCACCGTGAGCGTCTCCTTGCCGTCAAAGGGGTAGATGACGGCGTCCATGATGTCGCGCGGGGCGCCAACCGAGTCCCAGAAAAAGTTGAACAGCGCCTCGCCCGAGGGAGATCATGGGGGTTGAAACGCTTTGATCGGCGCCGGCGTCACGCCGACAAAGCGACGTTTGCCTGCCCGTGCGTAGGCGGCACACTCCAAGAGCGACTTCTCCTTGAGCACGCCCTCGATGGCTGCGGGTCCGACTCGACCGTCGACTGGCCCGAGAGCCGACAGAGGCAAACTCGCTCTGAGCGCCGGCGCGTGCGCCTGGCCCAGGCCTTGGACTTGCTGCGGTTGAGCCGCGAGCCGATGAGGTGCACGATGAAGATGACGAGGCCGATGCTGATGACGATGCCCTCGAGCCGGAACTCGGCCAGCGAGTGGCGCTGGTCGACCCGGTACCACCGCGTGAACTGGACGCTCGTCGCCTCGGCGGCGGCCGTGCCGTCGACGGCGGTGGCGCCCACGGGCACCACGGTATCGGTGGGAACGGGGTTGGGCGCCTCGGCGAAGTCTGCAAAGTCTGGAACCTGTCAGTCCGGGGCTGCGATGGAAGATGTGCGACAATGAGCATTGCCATTGGCTCTGGAGCTCCATTCGCTGTCCTCGATCATGTCACGGACGCCACAATGCGCACATGGCGTCGTGTGCTCGGTCTCTTCTGCTCGGCGCACAGAAGAAATAGGAGAGGAGGGGAGGAGAAGTGGCAAGGACGATCGATGGAGCAAGAGACATACCAGAATCGGCAGCGGGCACTGCCTTGTCGGCGGCCTTTCCTCCGCCGAAGAAGCTGTTCAGGACATTGGCCATTGTGTCTTGTGCCTTTGTCTGTGCCTATGCCTGTGCCTGTGCCTGTGCCTGTGCCTGTGGCGGGTGGGGGATGTCGTGACGAGCTGCGTTGCAGTGCAATTAGAGACAAAGTTCGGGGGAGGGGAGGAGCTGAAGACAGACACCACACACCATCAAGCTGGAACCTTGGGGAATGGGGAAGATTGGCCCTCGCCCGGTGCGGTCCCAGTGCGGGCCCAGTGCGGGCCCAAATCTCATTGGCGAGCCCCCCGTCCAGCCACTGAGAAGCCACTGAAGAGCTTGGGGCAGGGGATCGCTGACTAAGGCGATGCCGGTTCCAGCTTCTGCGTGGGTCGTGCGGAGACGGATCATTGCGCCCGCCGGTTGTCCAGTCGACCGTCCAATGGCAAGTCAACAGCCAACCACCCGTTGCACACCTCCAGTCACAGTCACAGGAGGAAGGCTCGACGCCGTAAAGGCAGTTTCTCACGGAAAAGAAAGCGACGAGGGATCCTCCCAGAGCAATACTAACGACATCGCACAGCATCAAGCCAAACCACCATGCCACGGACGACGTCCCTACGCACATATGGGAAAAAGGCGACGAGGACGAAGCCTCAGCGGGTGCTGGCTGAGCTGCCCCAGACGCCAATCCGCAAACCACGACAAACCAAAGTGAAAGACAGCCTGGATGACATCGACGTGGTTCAAGTGACGGAGAAGATTGCGTCCGTCACCATTCGAGATGACACGCCAGAGAGCATCAATGAGCCAGTCACACCGCGACGGACATCTCCAAGGAAGTCATGCCAAGCTCCACCATCCCCTGTGGTGGTCATCCAAGATGACGTCGAGGCTAAGGTCGAGACTGTTCATTCACCACCAAAGACGCCCGTCGTGGCAATCACCGAGTCACTCGTCTCATCCGAGCCCGCCAATCTCGAGGAGAACCTCCGCGTTCTGACATGGCATGATGTCTGTCCGCCTGGCGACACAATCACCAAGATTGCCGAAGCCTCGTACGCTGAGGTATATCGTATCCGCAATGACCGCGGCACCAGCATCATCAAGTGCATTCGCCTCGAGTCACCCATCAAGGCCCAGACCAAAGCCCAGGAGCGCGCCGGCTTGGTCGATGAGGAGCCACATTCTGAAGACGACCTCCTCGGTGAGCTGCGCATCTCGGAGTGGCTGGCCGACATACCCGGCTTCGTCGTGTACAAGGAGCGCTACATTGTCGAGGGCAAGACGTCCAAGTCCCTGCTCGAGACGCACCAGGCGTTTCAGCGCAAGATGAAGAGGCAGGACCCCGACCGCGCACAGTTCTATCCGAGCCCGAGTCGGTACCTCGACGGCACGCGGTTTCTGGTCGTCGAGCTCGGCGATGCCGGCGTGGCGCTCGAGGACTTTGCGCTGCACCATGTCGATCAGCTGTGGGACATCTTCTTCCTCGTAGCCGTGGCGCTGGCGAGGGCAGAGGATCTCATTGCCTTTGAGGTATGTTTGATTCCCCCTCTTCTGCTGCACATCGTTACACATCATGTGATCCTCCGCTTACACCAGCCAGCACCGTGACCTCCACGAGGGCAACCTCTGCATCAGGCAGACGTCCAAGCCACGGCCGCGAGATCCTTCGTCGTCGGGCCCCAACTTTGGCCACTCTGGCCTCGACATCACCATTCTCGATTACGGCCTGTCCCGCGCCGAAGACTGTCCCGCGACGCTGACCCTCGACATGGACGACTCGATCGCGGAACCCGCCGTCGTGGCCCTCGACCTCGAAAAGGACCTCTCCATCTTTACGAGCACCCACGCGCCCCAGTGCAAGGTGTACCGCCAGATGCGGTCCCACCTCGTGCACGGCGGCGCCTCACGCAAGTGTCTCCCGCCGACGGCCCACTCGGTCCCGTACCAGGCCGGCATCTCGTGGGACGTCTCGGCGCCCTACACCAACGTCCTCTGGCTCGCGTACACGTACCAGTACATGCTCAGCCACTTTCGCGGCGACAAGAAGGACGCTGCACGCTGGAAGCGCGACACGGCGCAGATGTGGCGTCACCTCGACCCGGACGCCAAGGCGGCGACGCCCGTGTTCGGGTCGGCGGCCGAGGTCGTGCGGTTCGGCGTCGAGGCTGGCTGGATTGGCGAGGAGCAGATTATGGGCGGCGAGGGCGTGTCCATCGTAGAGAGGGAGGACAGCATTGTCATTTCCCACGAGGTGGTGGCGGATCGTGGCGAGGCAGAAGCCGCGCACCGGCGGAGCTCACCACGACGGAAGACGGTAGGGTCGTGATGAGACCGACTGAAGCATTCGCATATTGGATTGGTTTGAGCGAGCGAGCGAGCGAGCGAGCCAGCAAGCATGGAAGGCCTGGCATTGGCATGGGCATGATGATTTTGAGATTTTGTTTTTGCGTTTATCCATACCCCCCTTCCTCCCACATGTGCGGACGGAACATGACTCTCACATGTGCGGGCGAAACATTAGAATTTCAATAGACTGGTTGCATTGACGGCTTCAACGAGGGTGTTTGCATGTTTTTGCCACTTTGTAGGTGTCGCTACTTCGTCTTCTGCGTTTCCAGTGGTTCGCATGAGACGTATCCCGGCTTCGGTGCCGTAGCAATGGCCGATGGCCGCGGCTCCCGTTTCAGATCCACTCTGGATCCGGGAGGAGGTTGAGGGGTAACAAACGGTCGGTTTATTTGAGGGCCGAGGGTCGCGGAGATGGGGGGGGGAGTGGTTCCCAGCAACATCCAGATGATCCACCCGTTAGTTAGTTTTGTGTTTTCGCCCTGTCACAGCGAGCGAGGACGCAGATCGCGGACCGTGAAACACGACATATCCAGAGGTTCGTGACTTTGGAGGTATGTTGGGAGGGTTTCGCGCACATATGCTCTTTCGTCATGGGCGAAAAGCCAAAGCGCAACGAGCCTTGATGTCGTCAGGTATCATCGGGGAAACAATGTGAAGATGCCGAAACCATGCCAACGAATGACGCGTTCGCTTTGAGTCAGGTACCTGAGGTAGCCTAGGTACCATCGATCGTTGCTCGTGTTGACTATTCGGCTCTCCGATCCCCCTCCGAGTACCCCTCCCTCATCCACAAGAGAAAGCCCGAAGAACCAAACATAACGTCAACTGCCAGGCCAAACACTCACCATCCACTCCTACATTTGAAAATTACTTTGCCAACTAGACTAAGGAAAATTAAATAAAATGTCGGCCTACGATACAAAGGAAGCCGTGGCAGAGTTGGTGAAACCGGAGTATGTTCCCTATCATGTCATTAAAGTTTCCAACAACAAACTATCGCTCAAAAAGCATGCGCTGACTAGGAAACTCACCATCAAAGCCCCGAGCTTGCCGAGGTGAGATCCCCCCACCACTGAACCCATGCGCTCAACTGTAGCTGAAACAAAGCCAAAAGCTTCTCGCAAGCCGCACGGCGGCCCCGATGCCTTCGTTCTCCGCCAGGGCGGCCGCGTTCAAGGCGAACCCGCCGCCGGCGCCCCCCTCCACGGACATGGAGTACACGAGGGACGTACCCATGCGCGACGGCCGGCTCAGCGAGATCCGCATCTACCAGCCCGACAACTCGACGACGGCCGTGCGGCCCCTGTTTGTCCTCGTACACGGCGGCGGCTTTTGCGTGGGCAACAACCACGCGCCCGGGTTCCGCTCGCGCCTCATCGCGGCCGCCAACGACATGACCGTCGTCAACGTGTCGTACCGGCTGGCGCCGGAGCACCCGTTCCCCGCGGCGCCCGACGACGTCTGGGACGCCGTCGCGTGGCTGAGCCAACCCGACAACGCAAAGCAGCTCGGCGCCGACCCGACGCGCGGCTTCTACATCGGCGGCATCTCGGCCGGCGGGAACCTCGCCGCCGTCACGGCGCAGCGCTGGGTCGCGGACCAGCGGACGCCGGCGCTGCGCGGCCTCTGGCTGTACGTGCCCGTGCTCCTCGACGAGGAGATCGTGCCGGCGGCGTACCGGGCGCTCTTCTTCTCGCGCGCGCAGAACGCCGCGGCGCTCGTCATCGACCGGGCCGCCGACGACTACGTCCGCGCGGCGTACGCGCCCGACGTCACGTCGCCGCTCTACTCGCCGTTCAACGCCGCGCGGCCCCACGAGGGCATGCCGCGCGTGCACCTGCAGGTCGCCGGCCAGGACCCCGTCCGCGACGACGGCCTCATTTACGAAAAGGCCCTGCGCGCCGCACGGCGTCGAGACGAGGCTCGACGTCTATCCCGGCCTGCCGCACGCGTTCGACGGCGTCTTCCCGCAGCTCAAGGCCTCGGACAAGGCCAAGCTCGACATGCTCCAGGGGATCGCCTGGCTGATGGGGAAGACGGTCGACGTGCAGCGGTGTACACAGCTGATCGAGGAGTCGCGTGCTGTCGTGCCCTCTGGCCCGCCTCTCTAGGGGGGGGAACATCACGTAAACTCGAACCTGGTGCCTGAAGGATTTGGATCGGTTTGGTAGTGTTGGTCGGTAGTAGACAGTCGGGAAGCACCTGCGGAGCTAAGGAGTGGAGGGTTCAGGGGCTAGTTTGGGGGGCTTGAGACCACAGATGTGTATATCAAAGGGCTACATGTGGCCCTCTAGCTGCGGAGGGGCAGATTTCGGAGAGAGTCCGACCCCTTATTTGACGTGGCAATTGGCTGCGGATATCGCCTGTGGAAGACCTCTTCACTCGGCTGCCCAACCGCTCTGACATTCCATGGCCCGAGCGAATAGATAGTGGCCCCGAATAGAGTCAGAACAAGAAGAGCATGCGATGAAGAGGCCAGCATCTTCATCTACTACAGGGACTTGACGGCCAACGGTCTTCACCAAGGGAATGAGAACAGAGCTCGGACAAGGCTTGTGTCTACATGCTCGAGCGCTGCCAGTTTCTGCCCTACGCCGGTAAGGTGTGTAAGGTGGTGCCGGAGGTGTACAATAACAGGTTGAGGAATTTCCCAACGTAGCCTCACCAAGCCGAGAGGAAGATATCCATAACGTATGCGTGACGAATATGAACAAGGCAGGAGCAGCTATGTGGAGTTTAGGCCCACGAAAAAGCTTGGATCCCTCTCTTCTGCGCGAGACGTCGAAGCAAAGATCGTTGAACAGGGTCAAGCTATGGCTAGCAACTCGTAGATGACTATTATTGGTGCCAAACGCACCCCAGTATCGACGTGCTAGACAAAATCGTGCGTCTTGTTCGCGAACCCTTCCGCATGAGCCTTCAACGTCTTTCGAAAGAGATGATATGTCAAAAGGATACGTCATGGCCCGGAGTGATGGTCAGAATACAACCGTCACCGCCGTGGCTTAAAACTAAAGCCCGCAAAGATGAATCCTGCACCACGGGCCATGAGATATCCTCTGAAACTGTCAGTTCTAAAAACTCAAACATCCCATCTGGCTACGCCTCACCAAGTCTTTTGAACTGACTTGCTGATGTCTCGTGGTTTTCAACGAGCTTTCAAGCCTGGGCTGGTTGCGTGGTCTTATACACGGCCATCGTTGTCCACATCGCTTCAAGTGAGAGGCCCCAGATTTCGGCCCAGTCGCCCAAAGCGATCCTGCATCTAGGTCCCAGAGCCTTGAAAGTATTGTCCAAAAGCCTGGTCTTCGTTGGGAATAGCACCAGGTATACCTGTCACCAGGGCGATTGCTAGGGCTGTCTCGAGACCAAGGCGTGGTTGCGGGCCACCTGTTGTTTGACGAAGGAGTTACGGAAACATGGCTGAGTATTATGAAGGAAGACTTACAAGCAAGGTTCGGCCCATAGTCAAAGGAGGACATGGTCTATTGTAGCTAACAAGAAACTCCCAAAAAGCCAATAGTTGCCGTCCCTAACTCGTCGCGAGACCCCTGTGACACGCACAAGGTCTGGACAGCACGATCGGGACGTTACGAGGGCGGTTTCCTTCAGCCGCGAGCATCATTCGAAATGCAAGGGGACAGCACTCGATCAATCATCGGTGGCGAACTGTGACTGAGCTATTGAGCTTCCAGACTGAGTCGATCCTGCAGATGGACAGCATTACTGAAGTCGTTGCCAAGAACTTCAAGACGTGAAGCATCCGCACTCATCTTTCTCTCTTGGCTTGGGTGTTGTCCATCATAGTTGGTCAATATCTTCTTCACTTCGCTCCGGTGTAGTGCTCGTCCATCTCAGGGCGTACAAATCAATCTTGCGGCCCTGGGTCTTTGCTATGGCATCGGCGCCGTATCGTCAGGCTCTATAACTTACGGGGGCAAGGTTGTCGTCCCTGATGTGCGCCATATTAGGCTTTTCAAAGCAACGCAAGAGTATGGGACACCCGGATCCACGAAAGAGCATATTCCTCGCGCCGGGCCCGCAGCTAGGGCTAGGCTTTGAGCAGTTTCCTCTCAGAAAGCTCACATCGCAAGAGGAGCCAGAGGGACCGGAACGCTGGATCTATACGTCGAGAGTGTACCCCCGAGCTTGCAGCGTACGATATTGACTTTGCAAGGCGGTCGTAACACGTCTTGGACGTTATTTCTCACCATGTACAGAAGTAGGCGATCCCTCAAATGTATGTACACTATAGTGGTCGTGTTATAATCCTGCTACTGTTGAAAATCTACTCACTGTCAAGTAGAGCTGTTACGAAGCAAGTTACGTACGTCCACGGAAGCTTTCCGCGAAGGACAACGTTATGATACGCCTTCGCTATACCATGCCGTAACGTAACCCCACCGAGGCAGGTACAGTATCGGGAGACCATCCATTCCCTCTCAAGGTTGGCCTGGCCAGGGACGCAAAGTTAGGTCAGCCCATCAAAAAGAGAACCCGCACATACCAATTGGCTGTCAGGCCCTCCCTAGCGAAAGCCATCCCGCTGTCAACCCTCCCAAGCCCACCAAGAGAGAAAAATCTTTCGCGTCCCGTTCGTTCCAGGGCGTCCTTCTAGGTGGTGTGATGTCCCTAGCTGGACCTGATTCCCCCGCGGCCCCCGCCCCAGGTAACGGACCCCGCACCAGCCAGCAAAGGGGGGAGGGGCGGGCGCGCATTTCCTCCCGAGACCGTCACCACGCGTCATGCCCATTCCGGACGCGCTAAGGACCTCGGCCAAGGCAGAAGCAAAGACCAGAACCCGCCCCTGGCACTAAATAGAGGGGTGAAGTGAAAAAAGAGAAGAAAAGAAGAGGAAGAAAAAGGAAAAGGTCGGGTTAAAAAAAAAAGTCCAGACTGTGGGAACCAAACCGTGGAAACATGGTCAAGTAAAACAAATTCAGGGGCCGGGGCACAGAGAGAGAGAGAGAGAGAGAGAAAGAGAGAGAGCGAACGAGAGCGAGGGACTCCACCACCGGTCAAGCAGTAGAATGACATGGCCGTCAACTCTGTGCCTTGATTGACTCGCGCGAGACACACGTCGGGACGAAATTGACCTCCACCTTCCATGCCGCGCGAGAGCGAGGTCGTGTGCCCGCACGTCGGAGACGAAGAGGACCATTGTTGCATTTCCGGTGTGCCACGGCGCGGGACCGCTCGGCCTTGCGTCGCGCAAATGCCACACAGATAGATCCCGTGCCCGGTCCCCACGCCTCCATGCAAGAGCGGTGTGCGCGACACACCACAGGCACGACTCGACAGAGGAATGCACCGTGGCAGACAGGCGGGAGACTGCGTGTTGAATGAATGGCTGGAGGGAGGTGAGACGAGACATTGTCGTCTTGATCATATTACTATCGTCATGGGTCAAGCAAGTCGCGCTTGACATGTCCCAGCACCGGGCTCATAATGCTACACCAATACGGCCCAAAATGTCCAACGCAAGATGCAGCCCTCGCTTCTTGCAGCCCTCGCTTCTTGCAGCCCTCGCTTCTCAATCAGACCAATGCTCCTGTCTAGATGGTACGCTGCTAACAATGCCGTGCCGTAAATGAACCCTCATCGGGCCCGGCCAGATAATCAAAAACTCCGTCCAATGTGTCCGTCCGAAAGCGGACAAGCTGCCCCCAAACTCCCTCGTCAACATGTCCCAGGCCGCCGGTATGACCAAAACGCCATGCCTTCGGTCCCTCTGCACACAACATCGCATCATTGCTTCCCCCAGAGTGTCCAAGGGCGCAATTCCTTCTCGCTCACATGACCCCCGAGGCGTCGCAATATATGCAGAGCAACCTGGCCAGCCGCCGTAGTGCTTCGCTTGCAATCCGGGGGGCGGGGGCGGGGGGTTCAATGAAATGAGGCACCGACGCGTGCCATCCGCGCAGACGCCACCCTGCAGCTGCTCATAAACAGAGGGCACATCTTGGAACAGCCAAGCGGGGAGGGACGACGAGTCTTTTGTGAACCCCCGACCCCTCCAAACGCCCGCGATCAGCTGCGGCGTCGTGGTGGCCCATGACTCCAGATATTGGGAAAACCTGGGGGGCATGGGCGCTAACCCCGCGCCGAAGGCTGGGGTAAACCCCCTGAGAGCATGGGCGAGACACCTGGGGCCGCGGGGGTCGCAACAGGAAACCCTGGCATGGCCCGTCTCGCTCCACCCAGGTGACGGCAAAACCAAAAAGTCCTCCGCAAACTCTCCGACTCTCATTTCCCTGGTCCGCCAGGGACCGAGTGACCGAGGACGGCAAGCAGGAGGGGGATGGGTGCGAGTGGGACACCTAGGTTCGGGCGTAGGATCGGCGTACGTCTGTTTGTCCGAGTGCCCCATCAACGCCCCACCATGGGGGTAACGAGCTCAATGCTCTTGGGTCTCGAGTAGCCGGTGGGCCTTCGTGTTGGAAGTGGCCTGTCCATGCCGCTGGTGCTGTAGGTGTAACCGTGACCGGCAGTTCCGTAGCCTGTGTCGTACGTTGAGGAGAAGAAACCAGACCCACTACGTTTGTATGAGGTGCTGGGACTTGTCGCTGCCGTCTTGCTAAAGGGCCAAAGGCTCGGGTGTGAGCCATCAGGTGATGGTGGGCTCGGCGGATGGACGTTGAGTGACCGCAGCGCAGAAATCGCCGAGGAATGGTGCTGCTGGTGGTAATGGCTGCTCATCGTCCCAGGCGATGTTGGCGGAGAAAAGTTGGTCGAGCTGGGGCGGGATGGAGATGCACGAGGAATGATGTCTCTCGGCTCGGAATAGTCCATCGAGTACATCGCATGGTGGCTCCCATGACCACTTGACATGCCTTGCTTGTAGGCATCGTCCTGTGCATACGCATCTTGGTCATACAAACGGCATCTGCGATGGCAGGTCAGCATGAAGAGCCCAAGAGGTACGGGCGGGATTTCGGCTCACGCTTCAGAGCAGTACAGGAACTTGTCGTCATGAGGAAGAAATTGCTTTTCGCAAGCCATGCTGCGAGGCAGACCGTCAGCACAAATCGGTCCGGGTTGGGAGGGCGTATGCAGAAGAGCAAATCAACAAGTGGTACAAGTGAACTTACCAGAATTGGGGAAAGCTTTCGCGCTCATCGTAGGAATCTTGCCATTCTCGTTCCCTTTCCCTAGGGCTTCGGCCGAGCTTTTGTGCTGACGAGTTCGGCGTTGTCCTGCGCGAGAGCGTCGTAGGACGCTTGAAGCGCGAAGGGTCGGTTGCGGTGACAGCCCGGCGGACGTCGGTCATGGACGTGTTGCTCACACCATGGCCCGACTTCCTACGACTGTGATGCATTTTAAATTGGTGGCCGTGGGCTCCAGATGAGTCAGGCAGAATGGCCGGCCTAGGTGATTGAGGAGTCTCTTAAGACTTAGATAGGTTGAGTGCAGATGGGGGTAGGATGCGTTATGTTCCAGTGGGTTCGCAGGTGTAAGCGGGGTGGCAATGGTTTTCCGTCAGAGTAGGTGATGGGCAGCCACAAGAGTTAGTCGCAACCTGGGGAAGAGGGTAATAAATCGTGTGAAGAACTCGTAGTCGATTATGTATCAGACCAGGACTTGTGGATTCGAGACAGGGGAAAAAAAACTCTTTGGAATGAAGCGGCGGCCGTGCAGAGACGGACAAGCTGTGCGTGTCTTGCTGGCTGGATGGTGGGCTTCGTTGGGCGACCGTGCCTGAGAGGGAGGCTGCAGGGCGGATACGGAGTTTTGCGCAGCTGCAACGGTGTGTCCTTAAGGAGTGGATAGTGACGGCTATAATGCGTGGAGAATTTTTTCTGGCTATTGACAGTCGAACAGAAATGCCGTCCCTGTCCGAAACGTGCTGTAGGCAGGTGACAACGATAAACGACCAAGGAGTCTAGAGCTTTGGAGCTCGTGGCGTGTTGGGCGGGCTTGTAGGCGAGGAGGGAATTGTGGATTATATTTGGCCGAGCTGATAAGTCGGGGAAGAGCAGGTTGTGCAGGCCGATGCAAGAAACTGGATGCTCGGATGTGCAAGTGTGCTTCGCTGCGTTGTACCTGTGGTTTTCCCACCGCCAGGAGCTAGGTCGATTCGAGAAGAGGGACAGAACACGCAGCCGATCGATTGGCGCTCGATGCGGCTGTGTTAGTGATGGGTGAACGGAGAGCGATGCGGTGTACTTTTAGTTGGGTGGATTCCCAGGTCGCTACTGTCGTGCTTGCGTGTGGCTCCAGGTAGCTTTCGGCGGGTAGTATTGGGACCAGTCGGATTAAGGCACGGGTATACTCTCGTGCCTGGGAGGAAAACGTGACGGTTGTTGGCGGAATCGAGGTCGAGGGCGAGGTGCTCAGTTAGCGGGATCGACGAGAGAGCCCAACTGACCACGAGTGTAGCACGATGACGACAGGGGAAATGCTCCGCCGCAGGTGAAGGGTGGAGGCAGTCGAGGTAAGGGCAGAGAAGCGTATGTCAAGGGACAGGAGCGAGGGTGCGACGACTGGAGGAAGCCGGGGATGACTATGAATATGTACGTGATAGGGCTGGCCGTAGACGCCCTCTGATTTTTTTTTCTCTCCCTCTTCCTTTCTCTTCGTAGATACGATACGGGCGAGCCTTGTCTTTGGTTACTTGGGTTATTGTGTCTTGGGAAGGAGCCTGTGACTCTTTCAGGTGGTCCACAATTGTCCAGGCGGGCGCGATTTCGTGATAAATTTCAAGGTTGACGCAACAAGGTCGCTATTGATACGCCGAAAGCGGAGAGGGAGGCGCTGGCCGTGGTGGGTGACAAGGGCCAATGGGAACGGGACGGGCGGGCACCTTGAGGACCGCGTGGTACCTGGTGCACTGGTGGACAGCTCGGTACTGGTTTGTGGCTGGAAGCCTACAGTACAGTTTCGATGAACTCTGAAGGAACAGACGGGGGGCCGGGCCAAGACAAGGGGTCGAGCGAAGAAGGTTCTGTTGTGCAATTACTGTTTCGATGATCGTTCGTAGCTCGGGTCGAGCGGGATGCAAGGGATCGGACGCGGCGCAGTACTGAGGAGTTTTTTTTTTTCTCTTTAGACGGGGACCCTTCCTTTCGGCGGGTTCTCTTCTTTGGTTTGGTGCTGGCACGGCCGCTTTGTTGCGTATTGTGTGTGTGTGTGTGTACCTGGCTCTGTAGTCCTGAGTCTTTCTCACCGACTTTGTTGATGAATGCTACCGACCCAAGCGAGGCTTTTGAGGGCAGACTAATCAAAGCAGGATGGAGCCGCCTATTTCGTGCGTGACGTGTGATAATGTTGTATTTCGTCCCTCGATCGAGATTGACTGAGCAGAATCAGATCAGATGGGGCTCGCATACAGCACCAAGAATGTTTTCTGGCCTTGGTGGACAACACGCAAGTTCATGCTCGTAGTCTGACGACAGAGAGCTCTCAGGGGAAGGCCCTGCCAGATATAGGTTCTGGAGAGGGGTAGAAGACGGAATCACAACCAAGCACCTCATCGCAATCGCCTCGGCGTTCTAGGCTGGCTGGCTGGCCGACCCCTGTTCCTGGCAGAAGGCGGGGTGCTTGAGAGGCTGCGTCTTGCGTGGGATGATGGGCAATGTTGAGCGAGCTGAGGAGGACGCAAGGTGGGCAAAGGTGGGATGCATACTTAGTATGGGAAGGCTCGGACGGGTAAAAAGACGAATAAAGGCATGGCGATGTGATAGCAGGGAATAACAGGGGACGAGGGAGGGGGAGGGGAGGTGTGCTGGAAGGAAGGCCGTCAGGGTCAGCAGGGGTTCAATACCCTGCCCTGCTGC